GGCTTCCAGATTGAAGGTACAGCTCTCTCCAAAGGCACCTGGGAGGTTGCTTCCAAGCAGCACCTTAAAGAACTTTTTTCTTTTAAAAATCTTTAGGTTTCTTTTTTCCCCTTTTCTTAAAAAAAAAACAAACACCTCTATCTCTATCTCTACCTCTGTCTCTGTCTCTATCTCTATCCCTATCTCTATCTCTATGTTTATAGTCCTAGCCAGTTTGGCTCAATGGATAGAGCTTTGGCCCACAGACTGAAGGGTTCTGGGTTTGATTCCGGTCAAGGGGACGTACCTCGGTTGCAGGCTCGATCCCTGGCCCTGGTTGGGGCACATGCAGGAGAAAACCCATTGATGTGTCTCTCTCACATTGATGCTTCTCTCTCTCTGTCTCTCCCCCTCCCTTCCACTCTCTCTAAAAATCAATGGAAAAATATCCTCAGGTGAGGATTAACAACAACAAAAATTAGATAGATAGATAGAATAGATAGATAGATAGATAAATATAGATATATTGATATTGATATATGAATAGCTCTTCATTTAAAGTACAGTCCCCCCCCCCAAAAAAAAATACAGTTCCCCAGGTTGAGGTATGCTGTGTCCTGGCCTGCTGTCACAGCAGGAGGGTACAGCGGATGGGGTGGGGCTGGCAGGGCACTAACTGGAGAGGCCATCCCGTAGTTCTTGCAGGGGCTACGCCCAGCATCATTTGGTTCTTGCAGGTGAGGAACCCCTAGGAGGCAATCAGCAGGGTCTCCTCCTACAGGACGCAGATGAGCCATCCTCCCACCTTCGGTAGGACACCTCACAGGTGCTCGCCCACAGGGCAAGCTCTCGGGGCAGCAGCCGGGCAGCCGGGGCTGGCTGAGTCCAATCTGACTGCCATCTTGCTGATGATGGGGGACCGCATCTTGTGGGTGATGCGGGTGCAGCGGTAGCCAGAGCCCTTGGACAGCTTCTTAGAAAACCAGTGCTCTCTGTAGTGCTTAGTGCCTCCTGGAGAGCCCCACCGAACACCTTCAGCCTCTGCTCGCTCAGGCAGCCCGGGGCCTCAGGAGGCTGGAGAGGAAGCCTGTGGGGTGATGCCTGGGAGCATGTTTGTCCTCTTCCCGGTCCAGCTGGCCTGACTCCGACCGTGCGAGGCTCTGGCACCGGTGCCGCAGCCAGGAGCAGTGAGAGGTTTCTGGGGGTCCTACGCTCTGCAGGGTGCACTTGCTCAGGGCTCTTCACTTTTGCCGTTTAAAGCGCCTGCATCTTCCCCCATCCCATCCCTTTCCCTGCTCTCCAAGATAACCCCCACCCTGAATTAACCATTATCATTCTCTTACTTTTCTTTATAATTTGACCATCTCTGTTTTTATCTCCAAACAGTATATTGCCGAGTTTTGCAAGTTCATGAACTTCATGTAAATAGAATTGTCCTATATTTTCCCAAGGTTTGCTTTCTATATTTTTTTCAAGGTTTGCTTTTTCACTGAGCATTTTCATTGCTATAGTTTCCATCTTATGGATTGAGGGCTTATATCATAACTGGTGGCCCAACATTTGGAGTTTTGCAGTTTGAACTCTGAGGCTGCTTCTAGAGCATGGCTCTAGTCTAGTCCTTAGATTTGAAAACTGCCTGCAGAACGAAGTCTTTCTGTGCTGTTTGATTTCTGTTGATAAGTAACCCAAAAGCTTTTGTTCTACAAGTAGAACACTGACAAATGCCTAAACTTTGGTTACCTATTGTTCTTGTATCACAGCCCCACTTGCTGAGCCCGGAGTCGGCCACTGTTGAAAGTCCAGTTGCCTCCACCAATTGAGAAATGATGTAAGTTTATGGTCTTGTTTCTCCTAAAACCCATCTCTTTGATGATCAGCTGCTAGCAGCTTGTATCTTTTAAAAGCTCTGTTCTCCTCCTCCCACCTCAGAGTGTGTCTTTGGTTCATACCTAGGGCTATGTTGTCTGATTTGCAAATCACATAGGAATAAAACTCTCTTAATTTCTTCTGGAACTTTTGTTAACAGAGTCAACCAAAAACATATTCCACTTTTGATGGACCTAGAGCTGTTCCCAGTGTTTTGCTAGTTACAGGCAGTGTTGTTATGAATATTCTGTGCATGTATTCCCATGGTGCGTGTCAGTGAGCGCTCCTGAGGTTTCTGTGAGAGGCTGGGCTGGTCACAGGGAATGCATATCTTCAGCTTCACCAGATGACGCCCAATTGTTTTCCAACGTGCAAGTAACTGCAGTTTGCAGTCCCAACAGGAGCGTTTCCGTTTGTTAGATACCTTCACCAATACTTGATGTTCACTTATTTTTTTTGCAAATCATTAAAATAGTACCTCATTGTGGTTTAAAGTGTAGCTTAATTTGCATTCCTAGGGTTTCTAATGATATTGAACATCATGCTATATGTTTATTGGCCATTTCCATTCCCTCTTTTGAAAAGTGCCTATTCTAGTCATTTGCCCAATGTTCCTTCTATTGATTTATCTTTTTCTCATTGATTCCTAGTTCTTTATATGTCCTGGGCATTCATCCTTTGACAATTTAACAAATCCTTTGTTAAGCATGAATATGTCTGTCTCATCTCTCTAGCTAGATTATTAACCCTGGGGGATAGTGGAGGGTACAGAAAATAAATTAGACCAATAAGAATCCTGGAGAATTATAACTCCCCATTTCCCGTACAGCTCTTTTCACATTTTCGAGCCCTTCATTAAAGTCAAGGGTTTTCAATTGCTGGCCTGGAAGGTTACAGGATGTTTTTGTTTGCTTTTTGTTGTTAATCCTCACGGGAGGATATCGTTTCCATTGAGGGAGTGAGGGAGCAGGAGAGACATCCACGTGAGAGACACAGGGACAGCCTCTCCCCCAATCGAACCTGCAACCCAGGTACCTGCCCTTGACGGGGAATCGAACCCACAACCCTTTGGTCAGCGGGGCCGACGCTCTAACCACTGAACCGCACCAGCCAGGTACGTTTTGCTTTATTTATTTTCAAAGAACCAATCACAAGAAGACAAAGACTGCTGAGTTGTCAGATTTTGCTACACCCAGAGGAGGGCGTGCACGCACGGAGTGAACTCGCGGCCCTCTCCTTGATGACTGGTGCCGGGAGTGGTTTCCTTTGCCCCAGGTGTTGCCTTGTGATCTCTGCTTGTGCCAGTCTCTCTAGCTTCGCAGAAATCTCTCCGAACTGAAGGCCAAATTCTGTTGGTTCAAGTCCCTCCAGGCTTGGCACGTAGCCAAGCGCTCAGTTCCTTCACAGATGTACCTACAGCGCCCAGAAAGGCAAGGTCCAGCCGCTGTGCTAGGAATTAGGGCGGCGGAAACGCGCGCACCCCAGGTGGTGCTGCAGCTGTAGCCACAAGCCTCCTCCCCCTGAATTTCCTCCGCTGAAGACTCCGGGGACGTGTCTTGCGGAAGGGAGGTGAGAGGCGTCCCTGGGTGCCGTGGCCGGAGCTTGGGAGGCTTCAGCGGGGTGGCCGTTTGCTCCCTGCTCTGCTTCGCTGGGACGGAGAGACCAGCAGGACTTTGGAACCTTCCTGGAGGTGTTGCAGTAAGAGGGTGCAAGGTCAACGCTTGGCGCCTCCAGGCATCCAGGCAGCGGGTGTCCGAGCGGCCCCCACAGCCTCGGGGGTGGGCCCTGAATC